ATATTAGATTTCATTATCAAGTGCAAGAATTAAATAGCTGCATACCATGAGCCTGCATTGCAATTAAAAAGAACTGCAGCTGACTTGTTAAGCAAAACAAATCTTTACTTAACAGTAACCATTCCAAGTAGGTTAACAGTCAGTCTTTTTAGCATAAAACTGCTAATTAATTAAATATTAAACTTATAAATTTCAATGTATATTTTATATTTCTTACTTATTCTTCCATAACAGTTCTCTTATGTCTTGCAAAATAGGCATTAAGTACATTTTATTGAATCAATGCAGTCATCAAAATAAAACATTTTCAAAAACTTTTCCTTTCCTCATTTCCAACTCAAATAAATGGTATATCTTTAGCATTTATATACTAAACCAGCCCTATCATATTTTATGTAGGATGCAAAGACAAAACAGACAACCAAAACTGATTGGAAAGTGAATGTCTAAGTAAATTTTGCAAAAAAACAAAACAAAAAAAAAACAGAACAAATGCTAAATCGTAACTGTATTTTTAATAGCTACAAAAGTTGAGAAGCTTTCGAAAAACAAAAACTGATCCCAGATAATGTATAAATAATAACCTTTAACCCTATCGCACCATGTCACGTGTCAAAGGCCATGTCATCGTGTTTGTTCACTTGCATTCAAAATTTTATTGAACTACTATTTTATGAATCTATGTCAATAAGTTTGGTATCAAATTGTAGACACAAAAGATAATTGACTTGCTATCTCAGTAGCAACTCTTTTTTTAGTGTGAATTTTGTGTATCAGTTATTAAAATGGTAACTGGTTGTCTAAATAAAACTAAGTAACTGTTGTTTCATTACATCACTCTGCAATACTTATAACACCTGATTTAACTCTGCCAGATATTTTCAATATTTTCTTTCCTGTCCCAGGATTGTTTGTACATTTATATGTAGTACATAACTTTGTAAAATCTGTGTCAACAGTTCTTTTAATTTTGGTCTGGGCATGGCTAGTAGTTAGCATGCTGGACTGTGAGTCAGAAGGCACAAGGTTTCACACAATGATATAATCTTTAACATAATCTCACATTGTGGGTGTGTTATAGTGAGAACAATGTCACTGTAGACAGCATGTGTTGTTCACTAGTTGTCTTCTCTCTAGACAGCATGTGACATAAAACATTCTCAATCGAAATATCAACTGTCAATAATGTTTATTTCTTGCTACTGGCAACCCACAGCTACATATACAGGTTAGGTCCATTGGACCTAGCCTAATTGAAGATTTACTGCTTACCATAATTCAGAATTTACTATGCTTATTTTAAAGAAATTTGAAAACTTTCAGTAAACGTGAAAAGTCTGGTGTACACAAGAAAATCTGAATCTTTAATAAAGTATTTTTTATGAAAAATTTGTCTCTGAACTTATCTTGTCAGAGCCTGACTAGTTTGGGTCTAAGGTGTTTTCATGTTAAGAATAAAAATACTTTTTTTTTCTTCTTACATTTTTTAAGTTTCATTTCCATAAACCCTAAAACCTCCTCAACATTTAACAAAAGTTTTTTTCCATTAAAACATAATAAGTTATATTTTATCTCTTATTTTCTCAACCCCAGCACTATACAGACAAAAAGATACAAAATGGCAATAGTAACAAAGATTTATCACTCTGAATTTTCATGCATATAATCTATTAAAAGATAAATATCTATTTGTCATAGGTCTTAAACAACAAATCAAAGTTTGATAGTTTTTATGATCTATGATTTATGTAATATCAATAAGAAGTATCTCTTATCCATCTTCTCGACAGTACTTTAGGAATAGGTGGAACCTGTATTATTGCTTGTTCAGAATCAAACCAAACCAAGTTAGTCTGCTACAAGTGGCTCATACACTAAATAATATTCACTTTACTATCAGAGCTTACATAATAAACTCCCCTGCTCAGCTTACACCTATTGTCAAGTGATTATAAGAAGAAAATCTCTCTCAACTTAAGGGACTTGCATTTAGTAAATAGCAATTGTCATCTGAACATACAAGATAATAACTATACTAACATCCATGTTCTTATGGTGTTCCAAGTATTCCACTACTGGATGTGACCAAATCAATAATTCACAAGTTAGAGGAAGAAAATGTTTTTTATCAATGCACTCTTGTCTGCCTGTGAGCTACTTTGTAGGCAGCTTTCATTTTCTGTCTTACAACCAATGAGGCAGTGTTATTTTGTTGGTACAAGAGTCATATGGCAATAGAAACTACATCACAGAAATCCACAGGTAAAGAAGACCACAAGCAGAATTTTGAATTTGATTGCAAGAGTACCTAATAGCTAACACGGCATTGAAGAAGTCTCAAAATGAGATAAATCATATTGTTCAGGGCAGAAAACTGAAATTGTCATGAAGTAGAAGACTGCTCCCAATAACTTAAGGTAAAGAGCTTGAGAAGTAGGATGAGTAGTGGAAGATGATTCTGCTAAACATCCATCCATAGGAAGAATGTGAGGAATATGAAGGCTATCAAACATTTTGCTGATTTATGAAAACACCTGCAATGAGTTCACTATCAGAAAATGAAAATGTTAAGTTAATATCTAAGGACATTTTGACAGTGAATTGATCTACATAGACAGCACAAATCAGTTGTATGACACTAGATTTCTTGTATAAATTTGGTTTCCTGTTACTATGCTACCAATGTCATACTACAAATGAAATTTAATCACCGAATTATTGAAATGCTATGGAAGAACTCTGCTCAAGTGGTTGTGAGTTATAGTCAGTCAATGTGATCAAGCTATGCATATTTCCAGTGCAGGAAAAAATTAATGAATGCAGCAAAAGCACTTGAGAACACTGATCTCCTCACAAAGTTACAGACTTCAGTTCTCATTACTGTAAAAGAAAAATACCACGAGAAGAATCTAATGAAGAGGCTTCTGTCTTCAACAGAATATTTGAAATGCTGAATCACAGAAACTACATATGACTTCTTGCAAGGAGTTGCACTTGACATACGTTTTTGGTTGATTTTTGCCCCAAAGTTTGTCCATTGGAGTCAACATTGAAAAAAATGTTTGTTTTTAATCAAATTAAAGATCCTTAAGCAAAGGTGATGAAAAAAAAACATTTCAGTCTATGTTCAGTCAAAATTGAAATTTGACTCTTCCCAAAACATTACTATGTTAAAGGATTTTTAAATGAAGGGCTTAGCTCTGTCCATAACATCAAGCCATAACCAAAGTGTTAGTTTTCTTATTCCTTAGACAAGTCCCAAGCATCGGAACATATCCAAAATGTTCTAACAAATGTGTTCAACACAATTAAATTTGAGAGTCTCTTAATGAATGGACTAGCAAAATCATGAACGCGGGATAAGGAATTTGGATAGAAATGAATCTGTGGCCTTCTTGTGAGTGCTCCCTTTAGTTATATATGAAAATGAATTAATCAGACAGCTCCAAAACTTAAATTATTATCAAGGTTATACTTAAGTGCAACAGGTGGGATTTGTGGGTTAGTTTTCAGATTAATGATAAACTGTATACTAGAGATGGGCTCCACTTAAGTAGGTTTGGTAGCATGGTGTTTA